CCCAGAGTCACTTTGTGTGAGATGGGCTGCTGTATAAGTGGGATGGATGGATGGATGGATGGATGGATGGATGGATGGATGGATGGATGGATGGATGGATGGAAAGATTCTTCCAGATTCCCTGTAGTGGATTAAAGTACAAAGGATCTTATTTTAACAAAGGACACTAGATTTGGAGGGAAAGATTGTGGTCAAAGATAATTTTCTTCCATGAATCTGTGTAATTCATGTTGGCTACTACTTGAATACCCTTATTTTTAAAATAACCTTAATCAATAGTAGAATTAAATTTTACTTTTGTAAATTTTACTTTGTAAAATTTAATGCTACTATTAAAAAAAAGTAAAAAGGGATTTTACTTTGTTTTTGAGTGGGTTACAAATACTCTCATTCTAAATTAGAATTTTGCATTGTTTGATTTGCACATACTCATTTCTAAAACATTTTTGAACGTTTTTCAGATATCATTGACAACTGTAAACTTATAACAGAGGAATGTCGCAAAAAGGTAAAACTGACGTTGATTTCCCCTATTCATTATCAATTCCTACTGTTATGAGAAGTTTATATTATTTATTTCACACTTTGCATAGAATTGTCATGAAGTACAGGTAGTCCTTGACTTATGACCATTTGTTCAGCAACTGTTTGAAGTTACAATGGCGCTGAATGAATGATGGTTGCAACCGGCCCTCAGAGTTCCAGCCGTCCAGCACTCCCATAGTCACGTGATCAGGATCTGGGCACTTGGCAACTGGCTCATGCTTACTTCTGGTTGCAGTGATCACGTGATCACCATTTACAATTTTCCCTGCAGGCTTTCCCAGGGAAGGTTGCAAGTTGCTAGGGTAAGTCTCCCCCACCTGCGCACCCTCCCCCAGCCCTTCTCTCACACCACACCAGCCATTCGCACACTCCTGGTGCACCCTTCCCAAGCCTCGCCACACCTTCCTCGTGCACTACAATGCACCCTCACCACACATCCCTTGCACCCTCGTGCACCCTCCCTGATCCTTGCCATGCCACCCTCATGCACTCCCATGCACCCTCTCCAACTCTTGCTGCACCTTCCTCACACTGTCACACAGCCCCTTGTGCCCACCCTGAGCCTTGCCACTCCTCCCTCACACCCTCACACAGCCCCTCACACCCTCCCCACCCGGCAGCAACCACTTAACTGCCTGCTTGCAAGCCACCTGGGACTCGCAACTTCCTGCCAGTTTCCCCACTGACTTGGTTGTGGGAAGCCAGAAAGAAGTTGCCTCACCTAAAAACCATGGGATTCGGTTAATGATGCTAACTGAGACTGCAGGGATTGCCATTGCTAAGCAGTGCGGTTGTGCTTTACAACCACATTTCTTAGTGACAAAAATTCCAGTCCCAATTGCCATTGTAAGTCAAGGACCACCTGTATACTTTTTCTGTTTTAAGGCCTTATGTAATGTACTTACATAAGGTACTGGGAATACATCAAAACTAAGGAAGCAAGCAATTTAGATTATGCAGTTAGGAAAAGGTGTTACAGAAATAAATAGTAATTGGCTGTTTTTCTTTCTAGTTATTCCAGCTGAAAGAAATATATTATGCTATTGAAATTGACCCTAGTCTTACAGTTGAAGAGAAGTATCCTTACATGGTTGAGTGGTGAGTTTGTGAAAGGTGACAGGTTTGCTTTACTGTTAGAGTTTAATGTTTACAACTGAATAATTAAGCAGTTGTTGATAAGAGCACCCATTTATTGTGTCCTGATAAGACACAAAATCTGTTTTAAGTGCACCATTTGTGCCAAAGATATTTGTCAAGGAATTAAAGATATTGTTCTAAATTATTGCCTCTTATCTCTCTCTTGCGTTCTTTAAGTAACAGTTTCCAAAGTTCAAGGTGTCCTCCAGTACAGAAATGGATTTTGAAAACGTAGAATCCCATCCAATATAGTTTTACATATATTTGAAAAAATAAATAAGACACAGTTTTTTAGAAGTAAAACCACTAATGTGTTCAAAGTCTTCCAGATACAAGGGGTAGAATAAATTGTTTCCTCCATATATTTCAATTTTAGTTCCTATCAGCCCTAGACAGCATGCCCAATAGCAAGCAATTGTGGGAATTACAGTCTAAAACATCTGCCAGAGATCAGGTTTCCTATAGTTAATATAAAACAGCATGATTTTTATATTGGCCTTTCCTTTTGGATTAGTTTGCACTAATTCTGTGAAATTTAGAGCATGTCACCCCCTCATAAAACTAACTTGCTAATCCATTTTTGTCTTATTTTTTCTGTCCATTTTAATTGCTTTATCCAAAACTCTTGTCACTGCATCATATATATATAAAGATTTTCAAATACATATCAAAGATTGGCTGATTCAGAAGTCTATTTATATTGTTTTTCTAATGGACAGAAAGCCCTATAGAAGACCCAGTTTGGTGTACTGGTTAAGGAACCAGGTTAGAAACTGAGAGACCATGAGTTACAGTCTCATCTTAAGCACAAAGCCAGCTGAGTGACCTTAGGCTATTCACTCTCTCTCAGCCCTAGAAAGAAGGCAATGGTGAGCTGCTTCTGAAAATCTTGCTAAGAAAATGGCAGGGACTAGTCCAAGTGGTCACCAGGAGTCAAGACTGACTCAAAGGTGCGCGTGTGCATGCACACACACCACACACACACACAGAAATATTCTAGCCTGTAAGAAAAAAGCTTTTTAACATTTCATTTTTAATCTTAGGTACAGCAAATCCCATGCTTTGCTTATTGAACAAGGGTTACAGAAGGACAAACTTGCTGAAATTGTGAGGGAGTCTGAGGTTATGCTGAAGTAAGCATCTATTATTCCTATTTTCTATAGTTGTGTAGAAATATATCAGAAATGGAAAATTGCGTGAAATGTTACATGCTCATTTATGCTCCACTGTGGACCTACCCTTGCATTGAGTGGTGGTGAGTAAAGTGCTTCCATTTGATTGGTTCTCTTGCTGTAACTCCTGTATGCCACATATTGAGCTTCTTATTGTGACAGCACAATGAAAAAGTTCCGCATCACAGTGGTTACATCAGATTCAAATTCAGCCCTCATTGTCTTTGTCCTTGAGAACTAAACTATGAGATTATTAATTTTGCAGTGTTTGGGAATTTTGTTCTTCCATAAAGATTTGTTTCTGATACTGTTAATAAGCTTGCTCCTTTTTTTTTTTTTTAAAGCTGCTGTGTTCTTATGATAAATGAGGATTTGGCTATATTTGGAAATAATGCTTTAGGAGAATGAACCACTTTCTGCTTGCTCATTCGCACTTTGCAGTAGTATAATATAGAAGATTCCATTTCTTCAAAGCTTAATTTCAATTTGTATGGCTCTTGTGATCCAAAAGTCTACCCATTCCTGATCTAATAGCAGTACTGATTCTGTAAAGAAAGCCTTTGATAATATTTTTTTTCCTTAGGTGGAGGATTTAAGAGTTTGACTATCCCCTTTTTGCCCTACTTCAACAAGAATTGTAGCTATTTTGCTTCTCAATGCAGTACTATTGGATGTTCTCAGACCTGAGAAATAGGAAAGCAGATGTTGCACAAGAAAGTTAATTCTTTTCTTTTTCTGTCCTGTCTTCTCTCTATAAACAAGGTCCAGGAGGCATTCCTGTTTCACCCTTGATCTTCTAAAAGCAGTTTTTTCCTTGAGTCACTTATATGCCAAAATAAATATGGGTATCTGTACAAAGAGAAGTTAGAATGGGATTATCAAAGAAAAGCAAATTTCTCAACTAGTTTGCAGAAGAACCCATAGGGCATTTCCTTAAAAAGATAAAACATTCTTAAAATTTTGAAGCCTTGGCTTCATAAATAATAAGATGCCAGTTATTACAGTCTTGTTTATTCTATAAACAGTGGATAGGACTGATTCAATTCCTACTTCAGCAAAGAAAAATGAAATAATGTCAGGTTTTAATTCAGTTTTTTAAAAGTGACTGTCTTGTTTTACAGAGAGGGGTATGAATTTTTTTTTGACAAACTTCATGAGCATAATGTTCCAGTATTTATATTTTCTGCTGGGATTGGAGACATATTAGAAGAGATTATTCATCAAGCAGGTGTCTACCATTCCAATGTCAAAGTAGTTTCCAACTTCATGGATTTTGATGATAATGTGAGTATGAAAGTGTCAAATGCAAAGTGCAGTTGTAGATTGCATATTTATTAAGGTATATAAGAATCTTCCAATCCAGTTTATGCTACACTTGATAAGGCCAGTAAAGTGTTCTTAGAATGTATTAATTAGTTCATGAATTAATTGAAACCAGGATCAGAGGAGTAGAACCCTCCTGTTTCTCCTTAATCTCTCAAAGGCTTTTTGATACCATAAACTCTGGTATCCTTCTGGACCACTCTGTGGGATTGGGGGGGGAGGGGGTACAGTTTTGTAGTGGTTCTTCTTGATGGGGTAGTTCCAGTCTGGGTGGGGGGAGAGATATATGCCCAGAAACCTCTACTTTGTGGAGTGTCTCAGGACTGTCTACTCTATTCACTTCTTTTTAATGGGAGGTCACCCATTGGCATATGGTTCAGTATCATCATATGCTAATAGTGCCCAACTATACAGCTTGGCCCTGGGCAAAAAGTACAGCAGAAGTGCTAATCCAGTGCCTGGAGCAGTGGTTCCCAACCTTTCCTATGCCCCACATCCCTAGGAAATGTTTGATTAATGTTCACACCCCCTACAAAAGCAATACCATATTTGAAGATGAAGAAGTCTAATTTCTAATGCAGGTGAACAGACTGAACTTTAAAAAATAAGCTTTTAACTCAGTGCATAAAATTGTCACACCCCCTGAAATTCCATCTCGCACCTCCTCTGAAATTACCTCCCCATTGAGATCTGGTCTAGTCCTTCCTTTCTGGGCTTTAGGAGAGTAGCTGTTTATTCCATCAAGTGCAGGAGGAAGGCATGTGACTGAAGATTTGAAT